GAAAAGGGTGAAGTTGTCGAGGATTTTGTCTTGCTGGGATCCACCGTCGATGCTGTGGGAGCGCAGTCGCTGCATCAGAAGAAGGGCTGCATCAGGTGGGTCTGCTGCACAGACCTCTTCGAGGGGTTGAAAAGCAAGGAGTGACTCTGAGGACAAGGTGTGCCGGACCCGAGCCGGGTTGGCTTCAGTTGCCTCGTGTGCATGTGACAGTTGGACACCGGATAAGGAAGACCGAAGAAGAACGGATATATTTGAGTTGCGGTGCTGGCAAAGGATATGGAAAGAACCGCGCACTGCCACATGTCAGGTCTGTCTTGGAAGAAGTAAGGCAAGGATGGTAAGACTTCATCTCATGTACTTTGCACGTGTCAGGGGAGCCTGTCGCTGGAGAAGAACATCATGTTTGGTAAAGTAGAGAGGCAGCAAGAAAGAGGACCGGCCCTTAAGAATGTGGACTGGACAGCACTGAAGCTGCAGCTCAGAGAGAGGGACAGGTGTGATCAGAGCACACAGGAGCAAATGAAGGGGGAGGAAGAAAGAGTGGAGCACATCCTGACCCACCAAGCCCTGAGGATGATATCCCTGCTTAGAGCAGCTAATCCACAGATGACCATATGGCCGGCCCCACTATGAGACACAACATCCCTCACTGACCCATGGCCCTACGGGGGACAACACCGGAGACACTGGGAATTGAATCTGATCTGATCCCACCACACCGAGGCAAAACACTAAGGGGGGTGTTGTAACAGAACAGCAAGGGGAGCAGAGCAAGGAAGTCCAGAGGGAGTACCAAAAATAGACTTTGGGGCCAGGGCGTGGTGCCCCAACAGACTGGACCAGAAACTCTCCTAAAAGTCAACAAACAGACCTAGAACTATTTACAGACTTCTCTCTGTTTTTTTGTCATTTTTTTTAGTTGTTGTTTTGTTGCTTTGTTTGGCTCTGTCTTGTTTTTGTGCATATTATTATCTCTGCAGGTCTGTCTAGATAAGATAGGCTGGATAATCAATCGGGAGGAGCAAACAAGGGAACCAACAGTTCCATGGGAGACGGGGAGGCAGAGGAAAGGAAGTGGGTATTAACAAACCCAGGGACAAGGGAAAAACAAGTAATTCAAAATTGGTGGCAAGGAGGGTGTAGGACGCCTGGTAGGGCTTGATCAAGGGCAATGTAATGGAGAGGAATTACTGAAACCCAATTCAAGGTTGAGCAGGATAATGGGACAAAAGGAAATAGAGGAAAGAACTAGGGGCAAAGGACATTTATAGAGGTCTAAATACAGGCATGTACATATGTAAATATATTTTTATACGAGGATGGAGAAATAGTTCTATGTGTATATATTTATAGGTTTAGTATTAAGGTAGCAGATGGACATTGGGGCTCCACTCAAGTACTCCCTCAATGCAAGAATACTTTGTTCTATTAAACTGGCAGTCCATTACGCTCACCTTCCTGACACGATCACTGAAGACAAAACGGGTGCATAAGCAAATGTGGTGAAGAAAGCTGATGGTGCCCGGTTATCAAAAGATATAGCGTCTGGGGTCTTAAAGGCTTGAAGGTAAACAAGCAGCCATCTAGCTCAGAAGCAGCAAGTGTGATCATGAGGTGTCAGTGGGATCACGTATCAGGCATCAAAGAACAAAAAATCAAATTGTTGTGAAAGGGGGAGTGCGGAGTGGGGACCCAAAGCCCATCTGTAGGCAACTGGACATCCCCTTATAGAAGGGTTGCGGGTAGGAGACGAGCCAGTTGGTGCACTGTAGCAATGATGAAACATACAACTTTCCTCTAGTTCTTTAATGCTTCCTTGCCCCCCACTATCGTGATCCCAATTCTACTTTACAAATCCGGCTAGGCCAGAGGATGTGCACTGGTACAGATAGGAACTGGAAACACAGGGAATCCAGGGCAGATGACCCCTCAGGACCAGTGGTGAGAGTGGTGATATCAGGAGGGTGGAGGGAAGGTGGGGTAGAAAGGGAACTGATAACAAGGATCTCCATATAACCCCGTCCCCGGGGGATGGACAACAGAAAAGTGGGTGAAGGAAGACATGACAAAACAATAATAATTTATACATGAACCAGGGGGAGGGGAAAAATGAACTGATACCCAGGGCTCAAGTAGAAAGCAAATGTTTTGAGAATGATGATGGCAACCAATGTGCTTGACACGATGGATGTATGGATTGTGATAAGAGTTGTACAAGCGCCCAATAAAATGGTTTTAAAACAACAACAAAAGAACATGGACGCGCCCAGTGGCGGCAACAATGGGTCAAGTACGGGACCCATGGCGAGGAGGGCGCAGGACTGGGCAGTGTTTCTTCCTGTTGTGCACTGGCTCAATGGCACCTAACAGCCCTCTGGATGCACTGGAGCTGACGTCAGCCTTGCAGTTTGCAGCAGAGCACTGCAGGGTCCCTGGCAATTCAGAGACAGCTCAGCCACATCCCCTAGGTAGGTTTGGAGGCGTGGACAGGGCCGGCTTGTCAAAGCACAAGGGCAGCTGGGCACCCACTGGGAGGGACAGAGGCCCACCATGTGCTTGCATTGCAGGCTGGGTGTGCCCATGAGTTACTGGAGGTGGAGGCTGTGCAGGATGCAACGTGGGTGTGTGACTCAAGAACCAGCCCCCTGTTGTGCTGCACACACATGTACGATGAAGCAGCCCTGCCCTGTGCCGCGTGCACACGTGTCAGATGTAACATGCCTGCAGTCAGGTTCACTCACAGTCCCACCCTCAGGACTTGCCCTGAGGCCCACGTGTCTGCCTAGATCCTGCTATTGTAGCAGGGGCAGGACGGGAGCAAGGGCAGTGTGCCCATTCCTTATGGGGATGCTGCCCACACCCTAGGGGCCAGATGCTGCCTGAAGACTGGTCTGGGGCTGCTGTTAGGGGGAGGGGGTGGAGTGTGGAGAACAGCAGCCCTGCTCCCGGGAGCAGCCCTGCCTCCAAGTGGAAGGGGGCAGGGCACAGCGGGAGTCCCAGTGGCTGTGTTGCCTGGGTCGCTTTGGCCCTTGGGAAGGTGTCGCATTAGTGGGAGAATGTTCATGCAACATCCAGAGACTGGCTGAGGCCTGAGACCTGTGTTTTAATAGTCTATACCATTGGGCCACCTCATACGCATTCCCTTAATACAAGAGCACCTTGCTCAACTAAATGGTCATTTCATGATACCTACCTTCCCGACATAATCGCTGAAGACAGACGTGTGCATAAGCAAATGTGGTGAAGAAAGCCGATGGTGCCCGGCTATCAAAAGATATAGCGTCTGGGGGTCTTAAAGGCTTGTAGGCAAACAAGCGGCCATCTAGCTCGGAAACAACAAGTCCACAGAGAAGAAGCACACGAGCCTGTGCGAACATGAAGTGTTGAAGGGAACAGGCAGCAGCCACCAAAGAACAAAAACCATCATTGTGTGACCACCTTCCCCACATAAATGCTGAAGATGAATGTGTGCATAAGTAAGTGTGGTGAAGAAGGATGATGGTGCCCGGCTATCGAGACCTATAGCGTGTGGGGACTTAAAGGCTTGAAAGTAAACAACTGGCCATCTAGCCCAGAAGCAGCAAAGCCCACATGGAAGCAGCACACCAACATGTGTGATCATGAAGGGACCAGGCTTCAAGCACCAAATGCAGGGGGGATCATATCATCGTGAATGAGGTAGCGTGTGATGGGGACCCAATGCCCATCTGTAGACAACTGGACATACCTTACAGAGGGTTAGTGGGGAGGAGATGAGTCACTTAGGGTTCAGTATAGCAATAATGAAACCCACAACCTTCCTCTAGTTCTTAAACGCTTCCTCCCCCCAACTACCATGACCTCAATTCTACCTTGCAAACCTGGTTAGACCAGAGGATGCACAACATGGGGAATCTAGGACAAATGAACCCCTCAGGACCAGAAGTGACAGTGGCGATACCAGGAGGGAAGGGGGGGGTAGAAAGGGGGAATCAATCACAAGGATCTACATATAACCTCCTCTCTGGGGGATGGGCAATAGAAGGATGGGTGAAGGGAGACGCCTGGCAGTATAAGATAAGATATAATAATAATAATTTATAAATTATTAAGGGTTCATGAGGGAGTGGGGAGGAAGGAGGAGGGGGGAAAATGAGGAGCTAATTCCAGGAACCCAAGCGGAAAGCGAATTTTGAGAATGGTGAGGGCAACAAATGTATAAGTGTGCTTTACACCATTGATGTATGGATTGTGATGAATTGTATGAGCCCCAATAAAATGATTAAAAAAAAATAGTTCGTCTATTCACAATCAAGTCCAGGTTAGGGCCCCTGTTGGCAACTGGCCCTGCCTCACCCACGCCGCCGCCTGGACAGTTCTTGCCCTTCCTCCAGACCCGCCTCTGAGCAGGGCCCCACAGGGCAAGGACACACCAAACTGCTCCCTAAGCTTTTGGTGCTGCGAGCTCCTGGTTGTGGGCGAGGGTCGGGCACCCCCGGGAGGGCAGCCAGTGAAGGCAGCCGAATGGCCTGCTGTGGAGCCTGTGTGTCAGACCTTCCTAGCTGGGCTTGGGTGAGGCCCGCTGCCTCTGCGCCACCCTGGGGGAGCGCTGTGCACGGAGCCAGGGTGGCATCTTGGTGAGTGCCATAGTCCCTCCCGCCCTGTTGTTTCCCTTCATGCCACAGTCACAGCTGCCTGGTAGGTGGAGCCCACTGTCCCGGAAGCACCGGAGCTTGTGCCAGGGGGAGACAGCCCCACAGGGATAGCAGGGGGGCAGGGCTGTGGGGGAGGGTGGGGAGGGTCAGAAGCCTGATAGTCTGTCTGGCAGACAGGCTAGTGTCACTCCGGCAGAGCTGCGGAAGGACCCTGACTGATGGGGGGGTGGGGAGGGGGAGGGCCCAGGCCCACCTCAGGGAGTGACTGTAGCAGAGGGCCAGGCCCACCCCAGGGTGAGCCTCAGTGGGCCTCACCGGGCAGTGGGGAGGGAAGAGCTGGGCTCACTGTGTGCCTGTGCCCACCAGGTTGTGCAGCCTGACCCTGAAGAAGCTGGTGGTCTTCAAGGAGCTGGAGAAGGAGCTCATCTCCGTGGTGATTGCTGTCAAGATGCAGGTAGCAACTCCGATCCAGCTGCCCCTTCCCCCCAGGCCCAGCATTGCAAGGTACACCTGGTGGCCTGGGTTGTACCCACCATGGCCGGGCCACTGTCCACCCTGCAGCCATAGGGGCCCTTGGGGGCGAGCAGTGGTGCCCGGGGATCTGCCACCAAGCAGGCTAGATGATGTAAAGATCAGAGGTCTTTCTCCTCAAGGAAGGCATGTGTGAGTGAGGGTGATGGAGCTTAGCCTGGCCCTCCCCTGCCACCTGGGGCCTGCCTGAGCCCCCTGCCCGGTACCTGACCCTCCCAGCTCTGCCTCCTCAGCCTTGCACCTGAGCTCCCGGAGGAGGCCCGGGCGGTGAGGGAACCCCTTAGCCCCTCAACTTGCGCACCCCTTCTCTTCACTGCCTCACGCTGTCACGGCACCCAGGTCCTCTCTGGAGTGGATGCGGATGGATCTGTGGTACAGACCTGTGAAGGGTGCATTGGGCAGCATAGGGCTGACCCCTGGGAGCCCCTCCAGGGGTCCATGATCATGGCACCCCCACTGGCTGGAGGGGATGTTTCCTGGGCTTGACTGACCTCTCAGGACCCTGGAGGTGGCCATGGTTGGCGAAGGAGCGGCCGGGCTCTGCCCAGCCCTCACCCAGGAGTGGACCCAGTACCCTCGCCGGAGTCATGGGGCCCAGCCATATCCCTGCCGTGTCCTCCGGACTAGTTTGCCAGGCTCCACTTGCTGCTGGATGGGGCTCAGCACGTGTGCCCTGGGCAGCAGCTTCTTAACCAGCGCCTGGAGGAACACCTTCGGCAGTTTGGAGTTTATTTGGGGGTGGAGTTTGAGTGTGGGTCCATGCTTACCAACATCACAAGTGCTAGGAGCCCTCTTTCTCTGCCGAGGCCCGCTGGACTGGCTGTGTGCAGGCTCTTACAGACTCTCACCTTCTTCGTGGGCCAGTGTCCACACTGGTCTCTGACCGCCTCTGCAGGCCCCTGTGGCCTCACCTGAGCTTCATGCCACCTCAAGTCTCTGCCAGGCGACCCATCCAGTTCTGCTTCTCAGAAATGCCGGATCCCGGGTAGAATTCCCTCTCCCAGACACACTCTGGCATCCGACATCGGTACTTGGTACTGTTCTAGCACATGTCTGTCCGCTGCCTTAGGCCAGGCTTCTAGAAGTGGAACTAAGCAGCAGAGGGTGTGGAGAGGCTTGGCAGCCTGCCCCCAGGCCGCTGGGGTGGCCCTGTCCAGGGTGGGCCCTTCTCCTTGCCACTGGCTGCTAGGCTGGGGCCTCTCTCCCACAGGGCTCCAAGCGTGTCCTACGCTCTCACGAGATTGTGCTGCCCCCCAGTGGACAAGTGGAGACCGACCTGGCGCTGACCTTCTCCCTGCAGGTGGGCGCCTGCAGCTTCCTTCTGAGTGAGGGTCAAGTGTACTGTACTCTCAGGATGTATCTCCCCGCCCGCTCCCAGGAGAACATTGTCAGGCCAGGACAAGGCCATTGGGTGGCAGACATTCCTGTCTGGTCACTTATGAAGAGTGTTTGGGGGTCTGGGGAACCCCTCAGAGTGATCCTGAGGCTCCTGGGGGTGCCCGCAGGGAGATGGACCGGGCGTGGGGGATTAGGGTTACGTCTGGGGCCCTACCAGCAGGAGGTCCGTGAGCACAGCAGGCTGGCGGTGGGGGCGCCACCCCAAGCCACACCGGCCCTGCGGTGGGCACCAGAGGCTGCTGGCCACCACCCACACCCACACCAGATGCAGGCCCAGACCTGCCCGCACGTGCTTGCGGGGCTGGTGCTGGCCAGGCCCCTCTGGCCTTCAGAGTTACTGTCGCCCACCTTCGTCCTTTGTGGTGGGGTCGGTTTTATTGAACATTCTGACAAATACGTGGGCAAGTCTGGGTGTGACGTGCGTGCAGCTGTGCCGGCCGGCAGTTAAGCCCAATGTCTGTAACTGGTGCACACGCCTGTCCTCTGAAGCAGGGCTGGGGCCTGTGGGAGAGCCCTCCACAAGGCCATGACCTCAGTGACACCCCCCCCAGGGACCCAGGGGGCTAGCTGAGGTGGCGCCGGTCCCTGGGGGTCGCTGCGGTACTGAGGGGGGCTCCATGACCCCACAGTACCCTCACTTCCTGAAGAGAGAAGGCAACAAACTGCAGATCATGCTGCAACGGAGGAAGCGGTACAAGAACCGGACCATCCTGGGCTACAAGACGCTGGCCGCCGGGTCCATCAACATGGCCGAGGTAGGTTCTGGGCCGAGCATGCCCCTACTCCTGTGCCCCTGGCGGTCAGCCAGCATCTCCTCCTCTCGTCTCCACCAGCCCCTTCGGCAGAGGGTGGGTGTGGCCGGGGCTGGGCCCTTGCCCCCGGGTGGCGCTCAAGTGGGCAGTGCGGCGCCGACACAGTGCCTGCTGGCCTCGGCCTCAGGCAGGGTATGGGACGTGGTGGGCTGCATGCTGGAAACCAAGTTGTCTCACAATGGCCAGCTGTCTGCTGCCGTCCGGGGGACTTGGTGTCACAGACAAGGGTGCATTTGGGGGTGTTGAGGGCTGAGGTTGTATTGGGGATGTGAGGTCCACATATCCCTGGCCCTGCCCACCCCACCCAGGTGATGCAGCACCCCTCTGAGGGCGGCCAGGTGCTGAGCCTGTGCAGCAGCAGCAAGGAGGCCACCGGCCATGTGGCCGAGATCTCCATCTTCTCCCTGTCCAGCCAGCCTGTTGACCACGAGGACAGTGGCCTGCAGGCTGGTCCCAAGACCAAGTCCACAGGTGAGGGCCTCCAGCCGTTTTGCCGTTGCAGCTGGGTTGGTGGTGGTATATGGTGCCCTAGCGTGAGGTGGGGGGGGCGGGGGGCCAGGCAGAGGTACTCAAGGCCCAGGAAGACCAGGGCTGCTGCCTGGAAACCGTGGCTGGCGTGGTCTTGAGAAGCGGTTGTCTAGAGGCTCAGTGCCACCTTGCAGGATGCCGAGCCTGACTGCAGGGGGCTGTGGCGGGGCCCTGGCTGGGGGAGGGGGACAGCCCCCTCCCGCACACTCCAGAGCGGAACCCTGGGGTCTCTCCCTTCCGTGTGTTGGCTCCACAGACAACTGCTCTGAGGACGAAGACGAGAGCTTCTCGTCGGAGCAGGAGGCCAGTGACGATGCCATCCAGGGCCAGGTGACTGTGCCGGCCCCAGTGGTGGGGCCAGGGAGGGGGGAGACAGGCACCCGCACTGTATGCCGTGCAGTGTGGGTGAGTGGGTGACTCGGGGCTGAGAAGTAGGGAGGCTGCCTAGGCCTTGGGAGCAGCCAGTGCCATGTGATACCAGCTATCTCTTGCCCAGGGCTGATGGGCAGAGGGCACAGTGTCCGCAGGCCACGCGTGTCCCCGTCCTGGGTGCGGGTGCCCGGCCTCAGGCCACGCGTGTCCCCGTTCTGGGTGCGGGTGCCCGGCCTCAGGCCACGCGTGTCCCCGTACGAGCTGCACGAAGACGACTTCGATGTGGGCAAGCCCCAGAAACAGCGGCGCTCGATAGTAAGAACGACGTCCATGACCAGGGTCGGTGGAGACTGGTTTTACTCACCCTGGGGGCGGGGCATGTAGGGGGCGGGGTGTGGGGGCAAGACTCCAGGAGGTGCGTGGGGGCCAGGGAGGGGGGGTGCACCCACCCAACAGCCCCACCCAGACAGGCCCTGTATCAGCGGTAGCTTTCCCTGCGGGCATGCCCCTGTGGCACTGCCCAGCCCCGCACCCCACTCCCCACTCCCCTCACTCCCTACTCCAGTCGTGGGCCAACAGGCCATGGGGGACGCTGTGGGCAAGGCCGCGCTGCCTCGAGGCGCCGAGCGTTGTGAGGGACAAGTGAAGCTTCCCTCGCTTCTGTGGTGCGACACGGGCCGCTTTCAGGGCCGGCCTGGGTGGTGAGTGTGGGTCCTGCAGGAGTGCCCTGAGTGCCCACCCACCCTGCAGACTGGCTGCTTTCTGCTGGAGCAGGGGCCAGGGAGAGGGTGCCTGGGAGCCTGTGGGGAGAAGCCAGGCCCGCTGCAGTGGTGGCGCAAACGGTTACCGCGCCAAGATGCTGGTGGCTCAGCTCCCCCTGGAGTGCCTCGGAAAAATGGCTTGGCGACATGTGGCCAAAGCTCAGCCCCCGAGCCCCCTGCCGAGCACAGCTCCACTCTGCCCTCTGTCCTCTGGGGTCACCGTGACTGGTGGGCAACAGCTAAGCTGCTGCTGTTCAACACTGGGAACCCCTCCAGTTTCTCGTGACTGCAGCCAGCTGGGCGCCACAGTCAGGCGGCCCTCCCCCCGGACCCCCAGCGGTCAGTGCCAGCACAGCTCCTGACTTTGTCGGGCTTGCCCTGCAGCAACAGAACTTCAAGCAGAAAGTCGTGGCCCTGCTGCGGAGATTCAAGGTGTCCGATGAGGTGAGGTCTCACCGCCCATCCTGCCGATCATCCCTGCCCCCCCCAAACCCCCGGGCTTGTTGGGTGGGTGTTACAGCAGCCAGTGGCAAGGAGTCTGGTGGGCTAGTGTCCTGGCTCTGTCACTGGCTATTCATACTAAGCTCTCGGGACATCACTGTCTGTAGGATGGGGTGCAGGGTCACCACCCCACGAGCCCTGGGCCTCAACCCTGTCACAGCTGCCCCAGGGTCCTCTCACTGCATGGAGTTTTCCTTTCAATATTTTTCTAGTCGGCTTTCCACAACAAGTTCCTATAACTTTTAAAAGGAGAAGAAAAGACCCTTAATTTTCTTTAAATGTGGTCAGGGAAAATCGAAACCCGGGGCTGTGGACTTAGAGCGGAGGGGAAGTGGAGTTTAGCATCTTACGCCTGAAGCTGCAGCCTTACCGGAATCCTGACCGTGGCTCCGCACTGGCACTCATGGAAACCGAGCAGATAAGCCCCGCGGCAGACGTGGAAAACGCACTGGAGGGTTTGACCGCAGATTCTGCAGGCAAAAGGAAAAACCACCAGACATTGCACTTGAAGGGGAGGTGATTCAGTGACCCATCTGGGAGTGCCCAGTGCCCGAAGGGCCTGCGGGTCCCATCAGATGTAGCAGCATGCACACCCTGGGGTCCCAGAAGGAGAAGAGAGGCAGAAAGCAAAACATGTCTTTGAAGAAACGGGCAGAGCCTTTCGGAAGCTCGACCTGAATCTACACGAATAGGACACCCACAACAAAGGGCGCAACTTCCAGAGGCTCAGTGGGATCCAAGCAGGATGAAGGCAAAGATCTACATTTATTGAGATGCATTCCACTCCCGGAAACAGCTCGTCCTGGAACCCACCGCGGCAGGCCTGCCCTGTCCTAGAGTCCTGATGAGCCAGAATGGGCTCCATGGCTTTGAATGCGCGTTGTTTGGGCTTTGCTTTTTCACAGTGGAATTGTCAAAACCAAAAGACAAAGACAAGGCATCTTGTCACGTACCAGGGATCCTCACTGAGATTAACAGCCGATTTCTCATCAGAACCCATAGCATTCGGAAGCCCCCAAGTGACAGGAGAGCTCCAGGCCTGTGTCGGACTTAACACAGAACTGTTAGCCGTGTTGAGTGTCTCAGGTCAGCCAGCCTGGTGCAAATCCTGGCACACGGTGTGCACACAGCACACCTTTCTCTGTCTGCAGAAATAATGGAAGAAACGCTTCTGGGTGCACTGAATGCTACCGTATCATCAGAGGATAGACAACGGACTTAACACAGAACTGTTAGCCGTGTTGAGTGTCTCAGGTCAGCCAGCCTGGTGCAAATCCTGGCACACGGTGTGCACACAGCACACCTTTCTCTGTCTGCAGAAATAATGGAAGAAACGCTTCTGGGTGCACTGAATGCTACCGTATCATCAGAGGATAGACAACGCAGTTCCTTCAGCTATGCATCTCTAAGTAGTGCCGGTTAGTTATCATGAACCCCCCATTGATTGTGGATCCAATTAAAAATGAGACCCTTGATGATTTCAATAATTTCTCCATCTATAATGATGAGGCTCTTGTGATGTTCTGGAATTTCATTATTTACAAAGTTGTCCGTAGTTTGATATGATTCCACACAGTCTAATGCCTGTGCATAGTCAACGAAACACAGGTAAACATCTGTCTGGTATTCTCTGCTTCCAGCCGGGATCCATCTGACATCAGGAATAACATTGTGTCCTTTGTTCCATGTCCTAATCGGAGTCTGGCTTGAGTTTCTGGAGTTTACTATCAATGCACTGTTATATCTGTTTTTGAATCATCTTCAGAAAAATTTAAACTGTGATTTTAATGATGTGATTCCATAATTTCCACTTTCTGTTGGATCACCTTTCTTTGGAATAGGCACCAATAAGGGCCTCTTCTGTTGGCTGGCCAGGTCTGCTGTCTTCCACACTTCTTGGTGCAGAACTGGTAAGTGCTTCCAGTGCTGTACGTATCAGCTTGTTGAAACATTTCAGTTGGTATTTTGCCAGTTTCTGCAGCCTTGTTTTCCCCCAGTGCCTTCATTGCAGCTTGGACTTAACTCCTTCAGTACCATTGATTCTTGACCTCGTGCTGCCTCCTGAAATGGTTGGACATCGACCAGTTCTTTCTGGTGCAGTGACTCGGTGTGTTCCTTCATCTTCTTTTGATGCTTTCTGTATCATTCGGTATTTTCCCCATAAGATCCTTCAATATGGCAACACTAGGCTTGAATTTTTCCTCAGTTCTTTCAGCTGGAGCTATGCTAAGCACATCCTTCTCTTTTAATTGTCCAACTTCAGGTCTTTGCACATTTCATTATAATGCTTTATTCTGCCTTCAACTCATTACTCCTTCAGTTCTTCCATTTCCTTTAACTACTCTGTTCAAGAGCCAGTTTCAGAGTCTCTACTGGCATCTGTTTGGGTCTTTTATTTCTTTCCTGTCTTCGAAGTCACCATTTTCTTTCTGTGTGTGTGGTGTCCTTGATGCCATGCACAAGGTGTCAGATCTTCTGTCACTAGTGTTCAGTCAGTCCTTCAAACCTTCTCTTGAGATGCTCTCTCAGGTGGGATATACCCAAAGTTGTACTTTGGCTCTCCTGGATGCATTTCAGTTTTCTTTAGTTTCAGTTTGCGTTTTCATGTGAACAATGAGCGGTCTGTTCCACAGTCGGCCCCTGGCCTCGTTCGACTGATGATATTGAGCTTCTCCATTGTCTCTTTCCACAGATATAGTCCATTGGATCCCTTGTATTCCGCCCAGTGAAGACCACATGTCGCCCTTTATGTTGTTGAAAACAGGTATTTTCAATGGAATAAGCTGTTGGCCTTACGAGATTCTGTCCTGTGATCTTCAGCATCCTTTCTGTCATCAAGCCCGTTTTTCCCCAATGACCCTTCCTCTGTGTCACCTTCTTATTCCAATCACCAGCAATTAGTTATCAGTGCATCTTGATTGCATGTTTGATCAATTTCAGACTCAGAAATTGATGAAAAAAAATCTTCAGTTTCTTCATCTTTGGCATTAGTGGTTGGTGCCTAAGTTTGAATAATAGTTGTGTTGCCTGATCTTCCTGTGGGCATGGATACTAACCTATTGCTGACAGCGTTGTGCTTCAGGATAGATACTTTTTAAGTGAATGTGATGGTCCTCTTGGATTTGTATTCCCAGCAAAGTAGACCACATGGTCTATTCTAACCGAGTAGGTAAAAGTCTAGGGGTGTTTGTTGAAATTCCGAGGTACCACTAAGAAAACAGCTTTGGAAATCCATGAGAATAAAAGCGATACACTCACTACAAGTTATCAGCTGATTTATTTTTAAGGCATTAATGGAGGAATTGATGAACAACAACAGCCTATGAGCATGTAGACATTAAACAGCCAGTGGGTCAGAGAAGACATCAAAAGGGAAATTGGAATACACACGGTGGAAATGCGGAAGGATGGCTGGGAGGCGGCCAAGGCTGCTCTCAGAGGAAGATGTAGAGCTGTAGCTGCAAAGAAGGAAACCTTAGAGCCCCTGAGCTTGCTGTGCGCCTTAAGGAACTAGAACAGGAGAAGCTCATTCCAGCGGTAGCAGAGGAGAGGAGACAAATCAAGGTGGAGCAGAGCTCGATTAAATATAATCAGAAACAAAAGGTGTTGCTCTGGAAAGATCCATGCAGTTCAATTAGAGTGACCAATAATAAAAGAGAAAACACGGACCTTACTAAGAGCACACGTAAAGTGGCGGCACCACTGCTGCCCCTTGGGCAGTAAGAAATGGTTGTGGGGTGGCGGGGAAAATCGGATATGGGAGTGGGGCAGCGAAAAAAAGCAAAAAAAAGAAATGGTTGTAACGTTTTAACTACAGCTATCAAATTCTGTAGCCGGATGAAACGGGGAAATTCCTAGAAACTCTCACTGCTGTCCAGTCGATGACCACCCAGAGACCCATAGGACAGGGGAGGGCTGCCCCTGTGGGTTTCCGGGACTGTAACTTCATAGTAGAAAGCCCTGTCTTTCTCCCAAGGAGCTTCTGGTGTTTTTAAACTGCTGACCTTGTGGATCGCAGCCTGAGTGAGTTAGTTAATTGTGCCAACCTGGCCAATAAACACGTGGGGTTAATTGAAGGGCAGAGGGATAAATGGCTCGGTGAGCCTCACCTTTGTAGTTCTCGGGTCTCTTGCTTTGTGATGGTCAGACCAGGGTGCAGTTGCCTTAGCCAGTTCCCTGCTTCAGCTGGCAAGGCTCACTTCCTGCAAGACATCCCTGAGGAGAAGCCACATGGACCTACCACGATGCAGCCCTGGGTGCTGGAGTAGCTGTGTGGAGACCCCTGCCAGCACTGAGATGCTTACACATTTACTGACTCGGCTTTCCTCCTGCAGTCGGCATCGTTGCATCTGTTTTGTGAGATGGAGGAGGACTTTGTGGATATATGGGTTAATGGGTTAACATTGGACTTGTGGGCTTGGACAGCACTAAGTTGGGATGTTTCCTTGATGCACACTTAACCTTTATATAAAACTCTCTCTGATACATGTTTCTGTGGATTTGTTTCTTTAAAGTACCCAGACTAACACACAGCCCAACACGTAACCACTGTGCCAACAGGACCTCCTCCCTAGAAGCACACACACAATTAAAACAGACCTCAGAAGAAATGGAAAATCTGAACAGACCTATGGCAAACAAGGAGATTGAATTAGTAATCAGAAACACCCTGGCAAAGAAAAGTCCAGGACCGGAAGCTTCACGGATTAATTCTCCTAGGCATTGAAAGACAAATTTGCATCCATCCTTCCCAAACTCTTCCAAACAATCAAGAGGAAACACTTCTCCCGTTGATCTGCGCCCCTGTAGCCCCACACCCAGTGCAACTGACCCGGGCGCAGTGGTTGTCGTTCAGCCCGGGAAAACCACCCAGGGCAGCATTCCTCCAACAGTGAAACCCACGTGGCATCGCAGTCCGTGAAGGAGGCTGAGAAAATCCCAACAGCGTCTCAAGAAAAACAAAAAACTGTTGTAGCTGTACAACTGAATCTGTGTGTGTGAGCTCGCCCACGGCTCACCTGACACGGTGTCTCCTGTGTGGGAGCTCGCCCACAAGGAGCAGCATGGTGAGGGCACAGGGTGGCCCATGGCCATGCCCAGTGAGGCGCTTAGGGGATGTTTGCGGGCATCGTAAAGCAACGATTGATTGTACACTTGGAGCTTGCTGACAGCAAAGGGTTTCTTTCTCTGGTGCTGGGCACTGTGCTTGAGTCCTGCTTCTCAATACCCGCTGTGCCCTGTGGGTGACCAGCGAGTAGCTGGACCCACTGTGCCCTCTGACCAGCAAGTAGCTGGCCCCGCTGTGCCCTGTGAGTGACCAGCATGTGGCTGGCTCGGCTGTGTCCTGTAAGTGACCAGCATATGGCCGGCTCTGCTGTGGTGGGTGGTGCAGGTATCTACAGGACTCTTGGAAGTCCCTCTGACTGGCCTTCACGCCCCTGGCTCATCCCAGGTCCTAGACTCGGAGCAGGACCCAGCCGAGCATGTCCCCGAGGTGGAAGAGGACCTGGACCTCCTCTACGACACGCTGGACATGGAGAACCCCAGTGACAGTGGCCCCGACATGGAGGATGACGACAGCGTCCTCAGCACCCCAAAGCCAAAGCTCAGGTGAGCTGCCCCCAGTGGAGGGACCCTGAACACCCTTGGCACCCAATGGGGCCACCAGTATTTGCCTCTTCAGAGCGGGCTCCCGACCAGCACCACCCCAGCCTTCAGGACTTAGAGCAGCAGTTCTCAACCTGGGGATCGAATGACCCTTTCACAGGGGCCGCCGATTCATAGCAGTGGTAGAATTAGAGTTTTGAAGTAGCAACGAAAATAATTGTATGGTTGGGGAGGGGTCACCACCACATGAGGAACTGTATTAAAGGGTTGCGGCATGAGGAAGGTTGAGAACCACTGCCTTAGCGGGTCCTCTGGGCCAGACCAGTCACCCACCGTGGGCAGCCCTGAGCAGAGGGCAGCAGGGGGGTGCTGGGTGGACAGCACCCAGGAGCTTTCTCAGCACTGGGTGAACTCTGGGCAGGGGTGAGGTAGAGAGACAGGGCAGAAGGAGGGCAGGGTGATATGGTCTGGCTGGGATCTGAGCGTGAGGCAGGAAGCAGCCCGGAGACTGCAGCATCAGGATGGGGAGGGGGCCTTGGGGCCCTGAGGGGAGCAGCTGGGCTCAAGGACCAGTGGGCCAGTGGGATCTTCTGTCCAGAGGGGCTCCCCAGAAGCTGCACGGTGGGAGCAGAGGGTGATATCTGCCACAAGCAGGGCTGGCAGGGGTGGGGCCCCGTGGAGTGGGGTCACAGGTATTATGTCCCTGGAGATGGTCATGGGGTCATGGAGAGGCCAGCTGGTCCAGTGCCCTTGCTACAGCCCAGGGCAGCGCCTGGAGGCCTGGCTCAGCTGCTGAGTGGCAGCCCAGGACGGACCGTGTGGTCCTGCAGCTGACACAGCTGCCCGGAGCCCCCTCCCACCTTAGGGACATGGCTGCCTCATGGCCCCACCCCCAACCCACGGACATGGTCCCCCAGGTCCCCGTGCCCTCTCCCCTTTCCCAATTCAGAGCCATGACTGTCTGTCCAGTCTCTGAAATAGCTCCTCCATCCCTTGTTCTCATGGGCTGTCGAGCTGGGGGGTGGGCAGGATGGAGGGTCTCGGGGGGTGCCTGACCCGGGCTCTGCCTGGAGGAAGGGCTGACCATTCCCCCTCCCCAGGCCATACTTTGAGGGCCTGTCACACTCGAGTTCCCAGACGGAGATTGGCAGCATCCACAGCTCCCGGAGTCAGAGGGGGCCACCCAGTCCTGTGAGTCGGGGATCATGGGGAGGGGCTCCCCATGACTAATGATGGGGACATGCTGGGGCCATTGGTGTAAGCCGTTGTGGTTGCCCCAAACACACCAGGGCCGTGAATACCTGCCCCTCCAGGGGCCACCGCCCTCAGCCCAAACCCCACCCTCACCCCCATTGGTGCTCTCCTCCACCCCTACGTGGGGCCCCCTGACGTCCCTCATCCACCAGGCGGAGGCTTCCGAGAAGATGAGACCCCTCAGCAGCCGGCAGTCGAGTGAGAATGTCCCCAACACAATGGTGCATGTAAGCCATGGGCCACCACTGCTGGAGGCCACAGGCAGTATCCTGGGGAGGGCAGGCACCATCTCAGCATGGCCCAGCATATAAGGTATCTCCATGGCTGTGCTTCCTCCCCTACAGAGCACCCCGATGCGGGAACAGCCCAGGCCACCAGAGGACAGCCCGGAGGCAGAAGCCACCACGCAGGACGTGTTCACAGAAAGGCTCCCACCCAGCGGCAAAATCACAAAAACGGAGTCTCTCATCATCCCCTCCACCCGGTGAGCGCTGCGAGACACCCCCCCCCCCAGCGCCCACTGAGTCATCCCAATGCTACCTTACAAATCTGGCTAGATCAGCGCATGTACACAGGGAATCCAGGATAAGAGCCCCCAGCGCCCACTGAGTCCCAGTGAGGAGCACCTGCTGAGGCTGCCCATTCCCACCCAGGTGGGCACTTAGCAGGGGCTCTAGAACCGAGAAATCTGCTGGGAGGCTGCATCTGAGCCCCCTCAGCAGGCTGGGGGGGAGGTGCTGGTGTGGGTCCAGGCGTGGCCCGCCCCAGGCACCCCTTGCCGCCACCCCACCCCACCCCTCTCCGCCAGCTGGTCATCCTGTCCCTGCACAGGTCTGAGGGGAAGCAGGCTGGCCGCCGAGGCAGAAGCACGTCCCTGAAGGAGCGGCAGCCGGCCCGGCCACAGAGTGAGCGGGCCAACAGCCTGGACAATGAGCGCTGCCCAGACACCAGGAGCCAGCTGCAGGTAGGGGTGGGGGGGGAGAGTCTGACGGGTGGGCACAGGTGGGGCCAGCTACAGGTGGGCGGGGTGGGCCTGGTGGGGGTGGGCACAGGCAGGGCAAGGCTGTGACGCATGGAGGTGTGTACATATGTGACCCCAGATCCCCAGGAAGACCGTGTATGACCAGCTCAACCACATCCTCATCTCTGATGACCGGCTTCCGGAGAACATCATCCTGGTCAACACCTCGGACTGGCAGGGCCAGGTGTGCTGGAGCTGTGTCCTCCTCTGGCAAAGGGTGGGGGGTGAGGGGAGGGTCTAAACTCACCACCTGAGCAGGCTGGGAGCCCCGTCCCATCTCAGGGGAGGAGAGTGGCCTAGGGCTTATGGGTGGGGGCTATGGCTTCCTGTCAGTTGACCATCAGCCCCACCCACAGCTCCTCTCAGACATGCTGCAGCGACACACGCTGCCTGTGGTCTGCACCTGCTCCTCGGCCGACGTCCAGGCTGCCTTCAGCACCATTGTCTCTCGGATACAAAGATAGTGAGTCCTGCAGGCCCTGAGGACTGGCCCCTCAGAGACCACTTCTTGGCTACGGGCCCCAAGCCCCACGACAAGGAGCCTGGAGCGGGAACACCTGTAGATGGGCAGGCCCTGTTGGGGATAGCCCTGTGTAGCGGGGGAGCCCTGTGGAGGGGGGCCCTGTGGCCCTGTGCAGAGGGGGAGCCCTGTGCAGAGGAGGAGCCCTGTAGAGGGGGGCCCTGTGGAAGGGAAACCCTATACAGAGGGGGAGCCTTGTGTAGGGGGGTGGGCTGTGCAGAAGGAGCCCAGTACGGGGCAGTTCCAGGGTCTCCAGAGTGTGGATGTACCGTGTGGTGGGGGCAGCAGGTGGACCCTGGGCGGCTGCAGGACAGAAGCCCAGAGACCTGTGCTAAGGCCTCTGCCCCTTTCTCTGTGCCACCACGGACGCACGCAGCTGCAACTGCAACTCCCAGCCCCCGGCGCCGGTGAAGATCGCGGTGGCGGGGGCGCAGCAGTACCTCAGCGCCGTCCTGCGTCTCTTTGTGGAGCAACTGTCCCACAAGACCCCCGACTGGCTGGGCTATATGCGCTTCCTAGTCATCCCTCTGGGTGAGTGGGTTGGGGCCGAGGCCAGGGTGCCCTCTGGCGGGGCCTGGGGAAAGCTGGCTGGTCCTCGAGAGCCCGAGTCAGAGCGCCCACGGGTCCCAGCTGGTTTCCTCTCTCTGAGTCAGAAAGAGGCTCTTGGGACACAGGGACACCGATTTTAGGCACGGAGCAGGGGCCACTTTCCCTGGCCAGGCCACCAAGTTCTGGGTCACGAGTAAGGTTACATGCGTGACAGCGACAAGTTTCTACAAGAGCACAGTGCGTCTGGGTCCCGACCGAGGCTCCGCACTCAGAACCAAGTGCCTTTGGCCAGGCACCTCCCTCCCGATAGTGCCGTCCCCCTGGGGGCAGCAGAGGCCCCTGTGAGCTGGGAAAGGCCCCACCCATGACACTCCCGTGTCCCCTGCCCACAGGCTCCCACCCCGTGGCTCGCTACCTGGGCTCCGTGGACTACCGCTACAATAACTTCTTCCAGGACCTGGCCTGGAGAGATCTCTTCAACAAGCTGGAGAGCCATAGTGCAGGTGAGACCTGCGGCCCCCAGTCCCCGGCCCATGTCCCCCTCCATGCACCCCTGCCTCCCACCCAGCCCCAGCCCTAGCCCGTCCGCCATATGCCTCCCACCTTTTACCCAACCAGTCGACCCCTTCAACACCCCATAGCCCCCCACCTCCCACCCAGCCCCAGCCCATCTGCCCTTGTGTACCCCCTTGTCTCCCACCCAACCAGCCACCCTTTGGCACCCTTCACCTCTCCCCTGAACCAGCCACTCCATGCCCTACCCCCAGGCCCTGCCAATCTGCCCCTCATGTGCCCCAACCCTAGTTGGGTTTCCCCTCCTTGCCCGTATTCTCTCTGGCCCACTGCCCCAGGCCCCTACCAACAGCCCACTGCCTACAGCTCCGTGCCCTTCATTCCGCAGTGCAGGAAACCCCAGACATCGTGTCTCGTGTCACGCAGTACATCGCCGGGGCCAACTGTGCCCACCAGCTGCCCATTGCGGAGGCCATGTTGACCTACCGGCAGAAGAGGTAAGGCCGCTTGGGCTGCTGAGCCGGCAGAGCCAGGCCCAGGCCTAGGGTGCCACTGACCTGTAGGGGTCCAACTTCATGCAGCGGCTCAGCTGAGCAACCCCGGAGCCCCGTCTGTTGTGCAGATCCGACCCTTCTGGGGGCGCTGTCCAGCTCCTCCGATCTGTAGCATGGGCTCACCCGGCGGTCAGGGCTCCTCCGGGGCTCCTCCGGGTGGGCGGGCCCTCGTCCAGGCCAGCTCTGCAAGCTGCTGCCCACCGCAGTCGCATCAGGACAGTCGAGCTGCAGGCTCTCAGGGGATCCATAGACTGTGTGGTCAGCTAGAGGGGTGATCTGCCTTTGCCTGTGGGGCTTGTGGCCCCTGGGTTCCCTGTGCCCGAGATCTCAGGGCCTCACTTCAGGAGCAGCCCTGGCCCTGTGTGTCAGCGAGTAGGGGGCTGACAGAGCCTGTGCCCCCAGGCTCACCGCTTCCCTTGGGGGCCACCTACCCTGCGGGCCCACTAACAATCTGCGTCTTCTCTCCCGGTGGCTTTCTCACAAGGAAAAGGAACCTCCACTTTGATTTCACCCTGAGGTATCAGTGTCCCTGGGCCCTGCCTTGTTCCTCTGTCCCATGTCTGCCCTGGGCTGGTCTCGGCTTGTTTAGCAATATTAGTAGGTGGGGCTGCAGGTGGGCACCAGCCCAGCTTCATACCAGACCCCCTGGGGGCTGCCCACCTGCAGTCTAGGAACCCACCTTGGTCCTTGCCCATCCTGGTGCCCCAGTGGGGTGTGTACAGGGTCCCCAGCCTTGGAGTTAAGGGGCAGGCTGCCTACCTGCTGTCTAGAGGCCCTAATAGGGGTGTTCAGGGTCCCCAGTCTTGGAGTTCGGGGGGCAGGCTGCCCACCTGCTGTCTAGAGCCCCTAATGGGGGTGTGCAGGATCCCCAGCCTTGGAGTTTGAGGAGCAGGCTGCCCTGTGTCAAGACAACCTGAGTCCATTCGGTGAGCTCCTGGTGTCTGAATGCGATGGTGCCCAGGCAGCCTGCTCCTGGTCAGTCTCTGCAGGGACACGGACCAGGCAGAGCCATGTAGCTCACTGGGGGCAGCGCCCTGGAGGCGGCAGGGAGCAGAATAGTTTTGTGCAGCGCCTGCCTGGGGAGCTCTTCCCTTCAGCTCATCACTTGGTGGGCTCCCCATGGGAAGGGGAGCTGAGTGCCCACCCCAGCTCTGCTAAACAAGACCTGTGGGCCAGAGGAAGACCAGCCCGGGTGTCCGGGGCGCCAGCACCCAGCCTGGCATGAAGTGTGCTGCAGCATGCCCGGGCAGCCAAGGCCCCAATGGGCCCTGCCTCCCTGCTCCTGGCTCCGTCGGTGGACGGGCTCCCTGCCTCCATGTGACAGTGGTGACACCCCCCAGGGGCAAGTGCCCTGCCTGACCAACAAATGGTACAGGGAAGACCTGGGCAGGCCCAGGGTCAGATTAGGGTCCCTCCCTGGCAGCTGGCCCCACAGCAGAGCAGACATCATGGTAGCCCATGTCTTGGTCCCATCAGGGGGGCCCTGGGCTCCTGGTGTCCCTGCTGTCAGGCCACGTGTGGCTGAGTGGGTGCTGTCTGCATGGCCCGGGAGCTTGGCGTCCGCGCTGTGACTGTGCCTCTCAACCTAGTGTGCACGGCAAGCATGGGGCTGCCATCCTTGTGGGGCCTGGGCGGGCTTGGTGGGCAGAGGCCTGGGCAGTCTCTGGGACTGGGACACATGCCTGGCAGGGCCAGGGAGCTCATTAGGGGTCTGGGCCATCAATGGCAGCTCCCTGGAGCCTTCACAGCCCTTAAGTCCCTGCTGAGAGAGATGGTTCCCTGGGCGGGACTCACCTGCCAGGCGTGAGCACACAGGTGAGGGGTCTGTATGAACGGTGCTGTATTAGTCTAGGTACTTTGGAGAAACAAATCCACAGCAACTCACGTATAAGAGAGAGTGTTATGCAAAGAAAATGTGCATCACGAAAACATCCCAACCCAATGCTGCCCAAGCCCACAAGTC